AAATGTCTGTGGTAGGCATTAAAAAGCCTAAATTTGCTATAATCCTAAAATATCTCTAGTAGAGCTTTCTTAACACATCTGCTGCTTTATTCATTATTTAACCAATCACTCTAATTCACTCAGACGCACTAGCAAATTGAAAACTATTTCCTCACATAAAAAGCACCTTGTAAAATACTGTTGCTTCCAGTTGGATATTTGGCAAACTCACACAATTTAAGGTCTCTCTTTTTTTTAAAGTATAACACAGAGTAATATGGTAATGCTAACATCCTCGTCTCACAGTATGTGAGCTGAGGAAAAATGCATCAAATGTATCGTATTAGATTCAGATAAAAAATAACTAATATCGCCAACTGTATTGTGCTGTACTATAAGGAAGGTTTTGCAGGGCCAATAAGGGTTATATGGGTGGAACTGAAATAATACACAGGTAGTCCCTGATTTGCAATCATTTGTTTGGTGATTGTTCCAAGTTATAAGAAGTTACTGAAAAACATGACATGATCATTTTTCTTATTTCATTGTTCACACCTAAGACCATTGCAGCATCTCCATGGTAAGATGATCAAAATCCGGGAACTTGCCAATCGATATATATATTTATGCATATTTGTACTGTAGGGTCATGTGAGCCCCATTTATAACCATCCCAACTGATTTCCAACAAATAAAGTCTTGGGAAAGCTGGATTCACATATTGATTTAGCTGCAATTGATTTAACAATTGCATTGATTTGCTTAAAAACCTGTGGCAAAGAAAATAATTGTAAAATGGAGCAAAACGCAAAGCTTAACAACTGCCTTGTTTAGCAACGGAAATTTGGGATTCAATTGTAGTTGTTAGTTGAGTGTCAGGCTGGCTTCCCCTCTCTGCATTATCAGATCATCTTGTACAGTTTGAAAATATTGGATGGCATCACAGGTTGCATAAGCTGATGTCTGCCCTCACAAGGTCTCCTACCTCATTTACATCCCAAATAGGCACCACATTTTTTGGGGTGGTTCCTCAATTTTACTATTTCTATTTGTAACTTGCATTCAAAGAGAGGGATTTAGTGCTGCCAATATTTGCTACTGTGCTAAGAAGTGGATATAACTGGATTTTATTCTGGAAGAGGTTTTTTTTTTAAAGCATGAACTATGAATGCTAATATTCTCCAAATATTTCCAAATATTATGGCTATAATAAAGGAAGGTGATGTGTCTTTTTTAAAAAATCAAATATGTATCCTAGAGTTATTTTGCTGTTTTTCAGTTTATTTTTCTACTTTAAAAAATGGATAATATAGACATATAAAATGCAAATATTCAGGATTTGGGACATTCTGTTTTGTTTTGTTTTTGCATGTTAAAAAAACTAGAAAGAGACTTAAGGAAGCATTCTATCTCTGAATTTGAAAGAAAATTAATGGATCATTCAAATTTCTGGGTTATTGAGGTTTGTTTTGTTTTTTTGGTAATTTATCCAAAAGTAGCCATTTGTATTCATCTGGGATATACTACTGCAGCCTGAAGCAAATTATAGAAGATATGAAATTATTTGAGAGGAAAACAGAATGTAGTGTTCTCTTCTGTCAAACAGTCTCCCTATTTACCTAGTGGAATGCCACAAATACTTTAAAAATGTCTGAAGATGCAATAATACAAGCAGAATATTTTGCCTTCAATTCAGAGCTATTTCTAAAAATGGATTGCTTTGCTAAACACTGTATATTTTCTCCTTAAAAAATAACTTGTCCTCAATTACTGACCCATTTGCAAATTACTTATAGATTTAATTTGTCAGGCATGCTATTCAGTCAACCTTTCTCATGCTTCCTAACCTAATTAACCCCACTCTCCATGTTATTAATCTGAGATATTTTAGCTGCTCAAGTTGATAACATCTCATTTGTATAATTACTGCAGGAGAACCAGGTTCCTTGGAAACACATATTCAGCAGCTTGACAAAGCTTTGGACACTAGTCGTTTCCAAATACAGCAAACGGAGAATATAATCCGCAGTAAAACCCCTACAGGGCCTGAGCTAGATTCTAGCTACAAAGGATATGTAAGTACTGTGAGCATTACCACCTAGTGGCTGGATGTAAAATTAAACTTCTTGATGTACAGAAATGGTAACCTCCAAGAAAAGAATGTGAAGTCCTGCAGTCCTAAGAAATTAATTGTGGCATAAGCAATCACTGATCACAAGCCCATCTTGAAACATGCAAAATGGACCAGGATTGGATGGATGGATGGATGGATGGATGGATGGATGGATGGATGGATGGATGGATGGTTCAAAATGCTATCTGAAATTATGGGTTTTTAACATACATACAATAAATAAATGCTATTTATATCTTACCCTTTTTTTCTCATCCTCGACCCAGCCATACATCCACACATTCTTATAATGAATCTTCTGAGTTTCATCTACTGTAGTTAAACAGTTTGTAAAACAATGGGCAAAGAACACTGTATTTTTTCATTGTTATTGTTGTGTGTTTTCAATGCATTGTATGCTCCTTTTAATTAATGTTTGTCATATAATATAAATGCAGGGATCCAAATAAGCTAGTAAACATATTAAATAATTGTCAAAATTGTGACTAAGCCCCAAATTTCTATACAACTAAAATGGTAGTTTGCCTCTCGAAGTCTTAGCTATTTCAAGCTAAATTGTGGAAACATGGCTAATGAAAAGTTATCTGGGGATTCTTTTAAAAAACAGATGAAGCTCCTGGGTGAGTGCAGCAGGAGTATAGATTCAGTAAGGCGGCTTGAACATAAACTGAAAGAAGAAGAGGAAAAGCTGTCTGGATTTATTAACCTGAACAATGCAGAGCCACAAACATCTGGTAAGTAATCATCAAATTTTCCCACATAAATGTATGAAAACAAGCAGTAATGATTTAACCATACATCTGAATGTTCTCTTTTCTAGCCCTGTTGTATTCTACCAGTACCTATGGTGAGATTAGATATGTGGTCCTATTTGATGGGACATGCCTTCAGATCAGCTGGGAATCACACAATTAATGTTTCTAATCACTTTGAGGCACAAGCAGGCACTAGCACTAAGGCAACATCAATACGCTTGGAACTTAACTCTTTTTATCAGGATAACAATTGTGAAAATTTAATTAGTTTCTGAAATAATGTGAGAATATATCTAGATCTGGGATGTTATGTTTTCTTTTAATAAAATCAGTAGCATCCTGGAGACAAGAGGAAACAAAACAACTCTAGCAGATTCAGAACTTAAGCCTTGATCCTCTTGTATGTACAAATGTTTTCTATTCAACACCTATTAATTTTGTTCGTAAATTAGTTTCTGGTTATTTCTTTTTTCATTTTCTAAGAGTCTGTTGGGGTTTTATAATATTGCTGTTCTAGAATCTTGCTCAGTTCTGGATTAAGCTGGAACTATTAATACAGGTGAACTCATTGAAAATTAATTTGGAAAAAAAACAGGCCTGGACTAATTATTGTGGCAATGTAGTATTTTAATTGTAAATACAAATATAAAAACTCATTTTAATAGAAATTAATATAATCTGGTCAGATTGAACATTCTAAAATACTTCTAAGCTCCTTATAATAATAATAGCATGGCGTACAGGTTTTTTTTTAATGATAAACCTTCCTTTATTAATAGTGTAAGTTAGTGACTTAGTAGATTTTGCCTTGGAAACAATTACCCAATATGAGGGTTTGGAGAGCTAAATATAAGGGATAAGGAGGCATGCCTTCAGATAATTTTCCATCTTCTTAGGGTTAAATAAATAAATATGACGGAGAGTAACTTTTAAATGGGTACTATTCCTAACTCTATGCTCTCTGAGCTTAAATTTGGATCAAAACTCTGGAATCTACATAACCATTCCAGCCGATAACTGGTACAGGGTGGATGGGGCTATTATGATAACCATCTGCTTCTACTCTTATTATGAGGCTGAATGTCAGCTGCAAAGTCCCGTGGTTAACTGAAGCCAGAAGGCAGAGTAGGTGGGGATGGGAACTCATTCTGGTGCCTTCATCATTCTTAGTGTGATGAAACATTGAGAAGTTTAGTTGGACAGAGGGTTAAGAACAGATTTTTATAAAGCAAGGTCTTCTTTTCTCAGGTGTGATTGATCGATGGGAGTTAATTCAGGCCCAAGCCTTAAGTAAAGAACTGAGAATGAAGCAGAATCTTCAACAATGGCAGCAGTTCAGTTCTGACCTAAACAACATCTGGGTTTGGCTGGGAGAAACTGAAGAAGAATTGGACCAATGGCATTGCCTTGATCTCAGCACAGACATACAGACCATTGAGTTCCAGATTAAAAAACTAAAAGTATGTTTTCACTTGGAATTTGTTTTAACATTATCTTGCTTGTTTATTTATTCAGATAGAATAAATTTAATTTCCTTTCATGGATGTTTCCCTGAAGTCAGCAGAAGCTGAGATGGACTGAGAGGAGATTTTACCTTTTTATACCAAGGTGTTTTTTTTTTTAATGCTTTAGTATTAGAATTTCAAACCCGCTCATTTTATGAAGAAAAATTATCAGGTTAGTTTACAAAATTCCTTCCTAAATTTTCATTGAAGCTACTGAAACAATACATAATCTTTAATAGTCTAGTTATAAGCTCAGCTTTATGTTTGCCAAGGTGTTTTTCACATACTGCCATGCCTATAAGTTTTACTTCCTAAAACAATGTATTAGTTTGTTATGCATTCTGCTCTTAATAGTAAGAGATTTTAGAAGTACCTACTACTACCCAGCTGTCAAACATAATTTTAAAGATATAGCACAGTAATAATAACCAAGAAAAAACACATTTAACTATCTTTAATGAATGAAATGTTGAGATGGAAAAGTTTGTTTTCTGAAAAGGTTCTAGCAGGGGTTTTTTTCCCCTGTCTTCTTTTCCTCTACCACCCACCTTGCTATTTTCAAGGAGCTGCAGAAGGCTGTCGATAGTCGCAAAGCCATCATTTTGTCCATCAACCTGTGCAGTTCAGAATTCATGCAGTCGGACAGTGAGGAAAACAAGAAACTGCAGGAACAACTCTCTCAGCTGAACATGCGCTGGGACCACGTCTGCTCTGTGTTAGAAGAATGGCGCTGCTCCCTACAGGGGGCTCTTATGCAATGTCAGGTCTGTTCTGGCTTTTACAAAATGTCTTGGTGTCCTGGATGTAGTGCAATAGGGGTGCACATAATCAGGTCTGTTTTGAAAATATTTTGGAGATGTTCTTTAAAAGATATTTTATTTTTATCTTGAAAGGTAGCTTTTGTGAGATTTCAATTATAATTAAATTACAGTTTTCTAATGCCACTTAGCAAACTAGAATAGTTTCAAGCCTTATATAGGGTCCAGCATTTTAAAAAAAAGGTTAACTCCAGACTGTAAAAAAACAAAAACAAATTAGCATAAAATCTCAAACCCATTTAAGATAAGTTATGTTCCATTCCCATGCTATCTTCATATTCTAGTTCTCCAAATACCCTGGAGTATCAAGAAAATGACATGCAGTAGATTTATGTATTTTTCTTTCATTAAAAAAAAGATTTATTTAGTTTAGAACATTTTTTGGCTTGTCTTAATTTGGCTTAATTAATTAATTTGGCTTAATTAATTGGCGTAATAAAACTCTAGCATTGCAAACCAATATTACAAATCTTGGTTTTCTCCTTGCCTTCAGGAATTCTGTTACCTCAGTCAGTACAATGACCTACGGTTTTCATACATCAGAAAGTGTTTTGTTAAAAGCAGTTTTAAGGGGAGGAAGGAGATGCAAGAACAGTGTTAGTTGTTAAAATTTTAAGCAATAACTTAGAACGGGCATCTCCAAATGTGGCAACTTTAAGATTTGCTGACTTCAACTCCCACAGCCAGCAACAGTGAGGTAAACAAGAAACTGCAGGAACAGTTTAGGCGACAGTTCTGGGTAGCCTTATTACACTCTTAACCTTTGTTTTTAGGATTTCCATGAGATGAGCCATGGCTTATTATTATGGCTGGAGAACATTGACAGGAGAAAAAATGAAATAGTCCCTATCAATCCAAATCATGACTCTGATACTCTGCAGGATCATCACAGGCTTCTCATGGTAATATCATTTTATTTTAATAACCAGATGTCTAGGGATGTCTGGAGAACATTAATGGGGAAATGACAGTATCAAGAGAGCTGAGGTGGCACAGTGGTTAGAGTGCAATACTGCAGGCTACTTCAGCTGACTGCTAGCTGCAGTTCAGCAGTTGAAATCCCATCAGGCTCAAGGTTGACTCAGCCGTCCATCCTTCCGAGGTGGATAAAATGAGGTCCCAGATTGTTGAGGGCAATAGGATCACTCTGTAAATCGCTTATAGAGGGCTGTAAAGCACTGTGAAGCAGTATATAAGTCTAAATGCTATTGCTATCAAATCTTGTTCGGGGGATTTATTGGTTAGGGTTCATTATTTATTTCTTCTCAGAAAGTTGTGCTAAATTATTTCCCACAGGGCTTTAATAATCCCTTCATATCAGACCAGAAGAAACTGTTATTCTTGTAAACTGAATTTCATTTTGACCTGTTATACTTTGTTTTAAAGCCCAAAATACCTTTTTTCCAACAGCAAATACGACGTGAGCTTCTGGAATCTCAGTTAAAAGTGGCTTCTCTTCAAGACATGTCCTGCCAACTGCTAGTCAATGCTGAAGGCACGGATTGTCTCGAGGCCAAAGAAAAGGTCCATGTCATTGGAAACAGACTAAAAATGCTCCTGAAAGATGTCACACGTCACATTAAAGAACTAGAGAAGATTCTAGATATTTCAAGCAGTCAGTTGGTAAGTCTTTTTTTATGATCTTTTGATCATGACAAGTTATAATAGCCAATTTCTTTCCAATTTGCATTTTTGCTACCAGAATGCCTGCATATTCTTTGTACTTTTTATACCTTTTTTTGACATGTATTACTCATATTCAAATCTTTAAAACCTAACAGTTTTATCATGCTGTTGACATAATGCTGTCATACTCTTACTACTCATGTAAAGACAAATTTTCTTTGTAATATTCACCGCTTGATTGCAAGGAAGTAAACTTTTATTAATATATTCCCAAGCTAGCTTTAGTGGTAACCCTTGGTTCAATAGAACTTGGTTTATAAGAATTTGGATTGCATAGACAAAAAATTTCTGGGTCTGAGTTCTGCCTAAATTTCAAGCAATAAGATACTCCTCCCTGACCAGTGAAGAAAGAGTGTTTGGCTCTTTTCTTTCTTAGCGGGCTTATTTAACTGTAAGTATATTTTGGTGTCTAAAAATCTAATTCACCATTTTGCAGGCATTTAGCTTTAATGGACTTGCCTTTCCCCATTTTAAATAAAGATTGTATTTATTTTGCTCTGTATGACATACAGTTATGTTTTGTTACTGACTTTTTTGTGTGAACAATTTTCTTACACATTTGTTGCATATTCTTCATAACATGTTATGGTGAAGGAGGTGGTATAATGCAGAGATGTCCTCAAATACAGGTAGTCCTCGATTTACAACCATAATTGAGCCCAACATTTCTCTTGTTAAGTGAGACATTTGTTCAGTGAATTTTGAACCATTTTATGAGTTTTCTTGTCACAGTTGTTAAGTGAATCCCTGTAATTGATGTTAGTAACCTGATTGTTAAATTAATCCAGCTTCCACATTGACTTTGCTTGTCAGAAGGTCACCAAAGGTGACCCTGGGACACTGCAACCATCATAAATATGAACCAGTTGTCAAGCATCCAAATGTAAATCACATGACCATGGGTATGCTGCAAAGGTTGTAACTATGAAAAACAGTCATAAGTCACATTTTTCAGTGCCACTGTAACTTCAAACAGTCAATAAATAAACTGTTGTAAGTTAAGGACTACCTATAGTTTTGACCTCCACCATTATTCTTTTCATTCACCACGGGTAAGCATTAGATACCCACTAAAGGAGGGCAGTAAGCTGAAATTATTTCAGAGAAGATAAGAAATGCTAATTATGAGTCATCTAGCTTGCCGAGTGCTATTAACCTTATTTCCCTGTAGAGATTACTCCACCACATTACCAGGTGTGCAATTTGAACTGCCACAGAGGGTCACACTGCAAAAAAAAATATATATATATAGTCTTGTGCCTCTGATTTGGGTGTGCTGCTGCTTTGCTGTTTTCCCCAAAAGAAAGTTAAATGAATGTGCATGTACACGGATTGAAAGAGAGTGAGGGAAAACTTCAGAACCAGCCTGAAAAAAAAAAGAAAACAAAAACCTGTGGCTGCCCACATGATTGAAGAGAGGTGCTTTGCATGCATTCCCATTATTCTGAAGCCCTTTTAAAAATAATAATAAATACCTTGAGCCCTGCTGTCTCCTTTCATAGGTACCTCTCTGTATAGCAAGGTTTTGATCTGAACTGCTCTCCAAGTGTGCCTACTCAGGGGTGGGCTCCAGCAGGGACTACTGCTGGTTTGCTTGTGTGCATGCTGCGCATGTGCAGTGCAATGAAAATTGTTTTGCGCATGCGAAGAATCAAAAAACAAGATGGCGGTGTCACCTGGAGAACTGGTTTGGGGCATGGCAGGCCTGGGTCGCTGCCGGTTCCAATGACCCAGGCCGCCAAACCACTATCGGTTCAGTCGAACTGGGCTGAACCGGTAGGAACCCACTACTGTTCCTACTGAATAAGAAGCACTTGGAGATAGCAGTGATGGGACAGAGGCTGTTCTTCTTCCAACAATTTGCCTTTGGGGTATCAGATGAAGACTTTTTGTTTTCTCCATGCACAATAGTTTTACTGCTTTATGTTTTTAAATTGCATACCATCCAGAAAACTTCACTTGTTGTGTGAGTTAAGGATGGTGATGATGATTTATTGATGATGATGATTGTAATTGATAATAACTAACCACTCAGGACTTATCCTCGTGGTCTTCTGCTGATGAGCTGGACACATCAGGATCTCTCAGTCCAGTATCTGGAAGAAGCACTCCAAGCCGACAGAGAATGGTAATGTCATGCCAGATTATTTTTTTGCCAGTCCTTGGGTGGAAGCACCAGATAGCTGTAGCCAAGGTGAAAAGTCTCAAACACCTCTTGTCATAGTCCTCCCCCCAGGAAAAGCACAGACCAGAATAATTCCTTCCCCCACCTCCCAAAAAACCCTCTGCCTCCTCAACCTTGTACATCTTTTACCCTGCATCAAGTCAGAACTTTTAAATTCTGTATTAATATATACAAAATCAGGACTCAAAGTGTAGCAGGTGTATACATGATATGCTACTTCTTTTGAACGGGAAGAATAGCTCTAAGGGATGGGAGCTTTTCAAAGGCTTGTCTTGCCTCACAACTCCTACATCTGAGTGCTCGAGTGTTTTTTCTTTCTTTTCTGGAGTACTTTAACTAGTTCATCCATAACAAATCAACTCTTAACCTGAGTTTAAGCAAACATTACAGTAGAAATTTGTACATTACGTTTTTTAGAGTTCTGGCTCTTACTGCTCAAAGTAGAAATCTGGGAGGCAACAACTCTGTGGAACTAGCCACTGTACTCTGGTCTTGGGAGATGTGGCCTGAATTTAAGCTTATAAACATTTGTCATTTGGAACAGCAGTCATGCAAATGGCCCCACCCTCACATTCAGCCTTTTGAGATACAACGAACCTTGTAAGAGCAGAAAGCAGTATGGTGATATTTGCAGAGATGGATTAAAAATACAATAAGATTGCTCTTGATAAAGAGCAGCACAAGGACAATGATTCGAGTTGGGAGGGTAAAAGAAAGTGATTTCATTATTTATATCAAATTTAGCATACAGGTAGTCTTCGCTTAGCAACCACAATTGAGACTTGTGACCCTGTCGCCTAATGCCTCAGCCACTAAGCAAAATATCACATGATTATGACTTATGGTTTTATTTTTGCCTTCTCAATTAACTCTGCGTGGCCACAGCCAGTGACAAAGAACACAAATGGTGATCACGTGACTGCAGAACACTGCAATGATTGTAAATGTGCCTCAGTTATGAAGTGCCTAAATGGCAATCACATGATGGTGGGACACTGCGACAGTTATAAATGCAAGGATTGGCCATGTTTTTTAAACACTGATACAACAGTCATTAAATGAGGCAGGGACTACCTGTATACAGATAGAGAATGCTTGCAGCATTTGAGGTACAAAGTTAGATTCTTTGTAGTCTTGAAAAAGAAAACTAGAAATCTGACCAGGAGTGAAATGCTACTGGTTCGGACCAGTTCACCAGTCTGGAACCAGTAGTAAACCAGTAGTAAAAAATGCTACCAATTCAGGTGAACCAGTATTTCCGATGATCAGCTGGGCGACGACCAGCTGTGACGTGCACTTCATATTAGCTAGAATTTCTTGCTGTCTAGCAAATCTAAATCATGTGGCACAGCGGATTTCCCCCTCCTTCATGTTCTACTTACCTTTGCAGACTCAAAAGGCTTCAAAATGTTGCTTTATTAGTGCTGCACGGGCACACCTGAGATGCGCATGCGCGTGCAAACCACACGCTCAGTAATAGACTCACCAAACCAGTAGCAGACTTCGAAGGATTACACTGCTGAACCTGACCAAACCTACTACAATTGCTACCCTTTAATTCTCACCAATTAAATAGTGACTTCTCTGAAGAGAGAGGAAACTATTTTTGTTGTGAAATCAACTATTTTCTTCATAAAATCATAAGTTTCCCCCATTTCCCACATGCACACATGCAAGGAATAGCAATACAATTCCAAGTGTGCCAGTTTGTGTTTTACACAATATTCAGTTTCTTTTCTTGCAGTGGTAGGAACTGCCTCCTACCACTTTCCATTCTTCTTTTTATGTTCCCAAAAATAAAGAGCGTGTACTATAGTATATCTTATCCTATGCCTCACTTTGACTCCTGGAGTGTACTTGATTTTAATTTCTGTCTTTTTAAAAAATTATTATTTATTTATTTAATTATTATCCAGCTTTCCTTAACTTTTACAGAACTGTCAATTTTCATTTGCTTTCTTATAAAATTACATCTTAGTTCTGTCATTATGAGCTTTATGGCCTCCAAAAATCGATTTCACTGCCTTTACTTGTTTAAGAATATAAAGGAACACTGGCTTTTCAGGAAAGAAAGCTGCAAAAATCCCAACAGATGTAGTTCCTAAGTCATTTTTAATTGTGTTAAGTATTTGAAAAATACATTTCATGTTCATTAACATGAAAAGAATTATTAATTTATTGGAACAAGGAACTTTTACCAAATAATTGTTGGAAATTTATTTCCAAGTTCCATTTTTCATGTTTAAAATCTGCATTCATCATTTCTAACACAGTGTCTGTTTAGTGGTCATGTCCATTCATAGCATATGGAATAGTTTCATGCAGATTAGCTTTAAAAATAGTTCAGACTTAGTCATTCTTTTTTTCTTTTTCTGTTTTTTTAAAATATTACAAAAAGCAAAAAAAATATTCTTTATAGCTACATTCTCTCATGATTTAAGAATGTGGTTTATTTGGCTTTATTTTTATTTATTCATTATATTTTAATCACACCATTATTAATTTTGAAGTAACTCAAACATACATACATATTTTTCGGAGTATAAGACACACTGGAGTATAAGATGCACCAAGATTTTGAAGAGGTAAATTAAAAGAAAAGTTTTTTGCACTCTGCAGACCTCCCAAACCCTCCGGACATCTCATTTTTTGTGAATAACTGGGCATGCAGAGAGTTTGAGAGGCCTGCAAAGTGCTCCTGGGGGCTGGGGGAGTGAAACAAGCAAAAAACAGCCCATTTTTCATGAAAACGAGCCCGTTTTTTTGCCAAAAAAAGGGCATGCATAGCCTTTAGGACGCTTATAGAGTGCTTCTGGGGACTTGGGGGGGGGGGCAAAAACAAGCAAAAAGCAGCCTGTTCTTTGCTCACTTTTGCCCTCCCCAGCCCCCAGGAGCACTTTGCAGGCCTCCCAAACCTTCTGCACATCCATTTTTGTGAAGGGGGCAGGGTTTCGGGAGGCAAAAAATGCTGTATTCAGTGTATAAGATGCAGCCAGATTTTCACCCTCTTTTTTGGAGGGAAAAGGTGCATCTTATACTTCAAAAAATACGGTAATACTTTTTCCTTCTCTTTTTCCCTACAACAACCTTCCTGTGAGGTGAATTGGGCTGAGAGAAACTGACAGGCCCAAAGTCACCCATGGCTTTCAATGCTAAGAGAGGACTTGTGCTCACAGTTTCCTGGTTTCCAGGCCAGCACTTTAACCAGTCATTGCACTTCATAAACTGTGGTTTGTTGTTTAATGCTGTATGCGAACCTAGCCATTATGACATTCTCACAGCTTCTCCCCTTACTTGCCAGCGGTAATCACTTTGGGGATAGTCCAATTCCTGGTTGCACACATAATCTGTGCTACTGTTGTGTCTATAGCATCTTCTGCACAGCCAGGACCATAATTGAACCGGAGAAAAACTGTATTAATCATGAGACATAAAATACTGCTAGCAGGTACCTTATTCTCCTAGTTTCTGCACTCTGTTCTAGAACTCCAAGAGGATGAGAAACTTTATTTACTCGATTTCTAAAGTTGACGAAGATTAAGAAAAAAAACAACCCTTTTAAAAAATTAAATAGTGAAACAAACCAAAATATTTCCCATAGCTTTAAAAAAAAGCTGCATTGCATTTCCTGTATATTGCTTTATTGGATAGAATGTCATTTTTAAGTTTACATTGTATGTTCCATTTCATGTTCAATTAAAAGTGGGAAAAGAAAAGCCAGTTTCCTTGATTCATGGGAATTAGTTACTTCATTTGATTTTGTGTTTCTTTTGCTGCTCTTTTTAGTTTGATTTCATCAGTAGCTTGTCTTTATTTGCCTGGACTGAACATTCTTCTTTCTTTACCCCTGTTCATTGCAAACAGCCACGAGGCAAATATAATGTCTCACAGCCTGGACCCTCTGTCAGCAGTCCGCATAGCAGGTACCTTATTCTCCTAGTTTCTGCACTCTGTTCTAGAACTCCAAGAGGATGATGGAAATTGCCCACAACAAGGATGCTTGGTCATTCTGATATCAATAGCTTGAATAATTTTTTTTCTATAATTATTAATTTTTCCTCCAGTCGAAATCTGATTTGAAATAGTACAAACTGATTGCTCTTAGTTTTAAGTTCAGCTTCTTCCAGCCAATATCCATTATCTAAATTCTTAGATGCATTGCAACACATTGGTATTAACATTCATGATACTGCATTTAAAATAAAAATGGAGATTCTATTCCCAGATTCGCGGCAAAAAAATAATTTCTTTATCATCCTCTTTGTTTCTAGAGATTAAATTAAAGCAGGTGATAAGCCAATACAGCGTATCTGAATTTTTAAAAACCCACAAACCTGAATAAAATGCATAACACTCCCTTTTTATTCTTCTCCTAAACTTACATTCCTCTAAGTTTTGCTCCATTTGTGGGTTTTCAAATTTCATGAGCCCAACCAAATTTCAGAAGCTGAAATGAAGATGGCAAATGAAGGTATGGCAGAAACACATCTTCACCTTAAAACAGCTTCCTTGCTAAGCCAGCATCCTTACATCAGCTTTAATCTTGCTTACTTAGGACATTCTGAAAGTAGCGCAGGTACCCTCTAGCTAGTTACTAGAAAGCAGACTTAACAAATGAAGATTTCAGTGTTCACACCTGTCTAGAAATCTGTCTTGCCTGCAGCTAACAGTGCTTCTGCATTCTTTTGTTGTGAACTATGTGTGCTTTTATCTATTTATAATCAATTTACTTTTTGTTCCTGGCTTTCTTTTCTTGCATGACCCAAATCAAAATGAACGCATAACCACATTTATGTTCTAGGACATGGTTGTCAAATTCGCCGCATCATGTTGCTGTCATGTGACATTTCATGATGTTTTTCCCCTTCACGGTGCTGGAGTGGGTATGGCCTGTGTGACAGATCCGGCCTGCGGGCTGCCAGTTTGACACCCCTGTCCAAGGC